GTACTTATAATGATGATATATAATATATGACAATAAAATTAACACAGTTGTATATGAAGATGATTTTGGATTATTAGGCTACCATTATGTTTTTATTCAGCAGTTAGATGATTCACAGGACTAGATATAAAAATACATGCATACATGCATAAAAAAACAACATATATCTGTTTACATCCATATTAGAGTGTCTTATACATTTTTATAGATGGGGTTAAAAGAAAGCATCATCCATATTCACAGTGAGGATGTAATATATTTACAGTCCAGAAACAATACCTACTTTCTCTTAACCTAAACCTGCAGAGTGAAGACCAGCATGGTCTGATCAGTTCTCCCAGAGATGCAGTACCAGGTCGTGGATGTCTGCAGTGCAGAGGAGCATGTTGGACTGTGTGTATTTATATGGAAATGGCTCCATCTGGTGTTCGTGAACAGCGTTTATTGGGTGACAGCAGCCTTTTCCGCTCCTCACTGATACATTATCAGCTCCACTGAGTCAACACACCAGGCACAATCTGCGTGTTTACAATGTGCACATTATTCTGCACCTTTATTATCAAAAGTACAGGGAAATACAGGAAAGGCAAGACTAAAAGAATTAGTTGATGAAATGACAATGTTCAGGAGTCTGTGTTAATGATGAACCTACAAGGAATTTTCAGCTGAGCCTGGAGCTCCCCTCAGATTTCCAGAGCTTTATAGTGAGCTCATTGTTTGTCTGTCCAGACACAGCTTTACTATTCTGGTTCACTCTCTCTCCACTCTCATAGTGTCGTTTTAAGCCTTAGCAGGTGTAAACAGCCTCTGTCCTCTACCTGCTGAGCAGCAAACAGCAAACACACTCAGTCAGAGAGCAGCTGGTGAAGCAGCTAAAGAGGAGCTGGTGGAGACCAAACACAGAGCTAGAAGCAGAGCGATGTGTTGCTGTCTACAAGAAAAAACATGTTCAGCAGTTAAAAAAATGTAGTGCCAAAGAAAAGTGCTGTTTTCATAGGAAGTTAACCACTGAAAGCTACCTGAAGCTAAATAAAGTGATATTGGATTGTTTTGGTGGCTTTTTTAAAAGTGACTACACATTTTTTCTCGTGGCCTCATGCACAGCATCACATTGCTCTGCCACACTGCCAGGCCTAGGTCGGCTTTCCTAACTGGGACTGTGCTAATCATAATCTACTGTGGGTAATGTACCAACTATATATGACTATCTCACACAACCCCACATCAAAAAACTCGAACCATCCCTTTAATTCACAGGTACAATCACAGGTATTATTATGCCTCTCCGCCGGTGACAGCCAGAGCCGGTCTCATTCTCCTTCACAACTTCAAATCCGGCAACGTTCACTTGGACTGACAGAAGAATTGATTAGATTTTGGTGGTTAAAGGTCAAAGGTGAAGGTCAGTGTGACCTCACAAAACCCTTTGTAGCCATTACTCAAGACTTCACAGCAATTATGACAAAATTTCACACAAATGGTTCATATTGACTCTGTCTAAACTGGGATGCAACCTGAAATTGGTCTGAGTGGAGGAGGCAGGCAACCAGGAGGAGGTGATTCTAGTTTTATACAAGAATACATCAGCTTAAAAGGTGCTGATATGTCAGTGTTGTGTTCATGGTTTGTTTCTGCTGGAAACAAGTGTTGTTTAAATGAACTGAGGGAGCAAGTTTGTTGCTTGTAGTATTATGGTGCGTTGGTGAGGTGATTACATTCATATTACAGTTTTTGCCCGTTGCTTGAACGCATTTTGCAAAACTTCGCTCATTGTGCCAAAACTCTACACACAAGTAAACATGACACAACACTGGGAAATATACCATTCACATCTGTGTCAAATTGAAACTCTACTATCAAAACCTAAACTCTGCTATCAAAACCTAACAATCCTTTGTCAAAATGTAACTCTGATGACAAAATGACACACACTTGCATCATATGCATACACTTTCAGATCAGGGGGAACACACTAGTCTACTTTATATAAAACACTGCAGTCTTTGATTTTCACTGTTTATTCAGAAGGCACATTTTCAGGAGGCACATTTTCAAACAACCAAAAAAGCAAATAGGCCTACTCAATATTGTACATTGAAGCACTGTACATTGCAGTAACATGAATTCAGATAAAGCAAAAAAAAAAAGAAAAAAAAAAGAAAAAAAACACTATACTGTAAACACAGAAAATCATGGCAATTGTGCATACGTGAGCTCATGGATCCCGCTGTCTGTTGGGGTCTGGCCACAGGACCTCATTGACATAGCAAGCAATGTCTTCTCCTGCTAGGCACCAGGGAAAATATCCCCTTGCATGTCGAAACCATCCATGGTTTGCTGTCACCTGAATGTCGCCACAGGCCTGTTCCATTGCCTGCAGAAGAGGCATGCGGGCATGTGGTTGGCGGTCATATACACGCCATCTCCAAGCCGAAAAGAATTCCTCTATAGGGTTTAATAATGGTGAGTAAGGGGGCAAGTATACCACTTCAAATTGATTGTGGTTGGTGAACCAGGCCTGGACCAGAGCAGCCCGATGGAAACTGACATTATCCCATACCACCACAAACCTGGGCTGATCTGGTCTGTTCTGTACAACTATATTATGGAGAGAATCTAGAAATGTGAGTATATGTTGGGTATTGTATGGACCTTAGTTTTGGCATGATGATGCAGAAGCCCTCGAAGGCTTATGGCGGCCACACCAATGTGATTTCCCCCGCGCTGCCCCGGGACGTGCACAATTGCCCTTTGACCAATACATTACGACCCCATCGTCTTGTTTTGCTCAAGGTCGATCCCAGCTTCATCAATGAAAACGAATTCATGAGCGCTGTGCAGCTCCATCCATGGCCAAGATTCTCTTGTAACAAAAAAAAACAAAAACATATTACTACAGTGCTACACATACAGAACCCCACCCCATACACAGGTACGCTGTGTAGCTCTCCGAATGGATCCCATGTGGTACTGATATGGTACATATTCAGCTGCTACTGATTTCACCAATACTGTATTGTAAATGTAAAGGACAGTTACACTTACCCATACATATTCACATTGAAGTCCTTTGACCCTGACACTTTCCTCTCAAATGGGACCCTGTAGAGCTGCTTCATGGTGATGTTGTGTTTTCCCAAGATGCCGTCCGATGGTGGTGATGCTACGATGGTTTATGTTGTTGAACACTTGCCTAGTCTGCAAGTACTTTTCTGTCGAAGCTTGGTGAGACGGATGCATTGTCTGCCCTCACTAGGTTCCACAACGGCAAGTTCCTGCTGTTGTGTGAACAGGCGTTGGCATCCTCCCCCAGAAGGTCTTCTAGTCATTCTAGAGAAATAACAAACCACCAAATAGTTGTCATTGGTTTTGCTTATTTTTCTTACAGTACTATAATATACTGTATTTACTGTAATATACTGTATCCCATCCACTGTACTGAAACATCTCAATATAAGTAATCATTGGTATGTTTCACAAAACTACCACTTTGGCTGCAAAAGGAGCATTAGCACCCCTGCAATACCGCTGTAAACGTGATGTGGTAATGTGATATACTGTTAGTAGCAGTACATGTAAATACATCTGAGCTAGAGTAGAAGGTAGAGAGGTGAAGACATACCTGTTTTCCAGTCGGAATGTTCTTATTACAGATGCCACTGTGAAGCGGCTTAGATGTGGGTGGACTCTCTGCCCAGCTTCCCTCATAGTCAGGCCATGGTTGATGACATGGTCCACCAAAGTTGCTCTTATATCATCAGAAATAGGGGTCCGTGCATGGCCTCTTCGACCTTGACCTCCTCCTCCTCCTCCTCCTCCTCCTCTTCCTCTTCCTCTTCCTCTTCCTCTTCCTCTTCCTCGTCCTCGTCCTCTTCCTCTTGCTCTACCTCTGCCTCTCGCTCTCCCTCCATCCATGCTTGCAAAGTTCTTGAAATGGCTAAACTGAGGGTTTTTTGCAGCTGGCTGATTGGTGTTCAGTTTTGCAAGTAAGTGCCTTCAGGTGTGTATTTGAGTGGTTGCAATTACCCGATGTGTTTTGTATTTTGGATACATGTGTTTTCCAAATGGCACCCTGAGATTTCATTTTTGAACAAAGTGTCTTATGTATGAAATAGAGTGTAGTATGCAGGACCAAGTGTGTTGCATAAAGGAGTAAGTGTGTTGCAGAATTGCAACTAGAGTGCAAAGCAGCGTTTTTGTTTAAGGTATGGGTACATGTGTTTGAGGTATGGTAACAAAAGCTTCAAGTTGTGTTACTTTAGTCTAAGCATGGGTCTATAGTGTTCAAGCAACGGGCAAAAACTGTAACTTGCCTGCCTTTAACAGTTGACTTTTATAATTTAGACACAGTGAGGTTGATTCCCTGCAGCAGCTGTGAGCAGTAGTTCTGTGGATCTCTAACTTCTCTCAGATCGGTAGCTGTTTTTAGAGTTAAATGCTTTGTGAGTTACTTTTAGAGTAACTATAGTGTTATGTTAGTATTACTCTGAGTCCTGGAGCCATTCAACACAGCACAAGTCTGAACTGAGTGAGTGTCACTTACATGAAGGCTGCTGCAGCACAAGGTTAAATACACAGTCCACCTTCAATAATAATAATAATGTAATAATAAATGTTATAAATGCATAATTTACTTTTGTATGTCATGCACAAAGGAGACATTTTTAAGTTATACAGGAAATTCTTCTTATGTTGGATCAGTTTATAAAATGATTAATGTTTCCTCTTTCCCAGTTCAAGGTGAACCTTGTAATCACAGTCATCCTCTTTGGATAAAGGTTTTCTATGATTTCAAGTTTGTCTCCTGTAAATGTATCATGGTATTTTTTCCAAAATGTCATAGAGTTAGTGGAGATGGTTTTGGGCAGGTCTAGGAAGCCCATTGGTTGGTAACTGCCCATTACAAGAGCAGTCATTGGCTGAGCGACACGTTGTCATGATTTTGGTAGGACTCAAAGTGCAGACAGTCTTCTGCAGGACACACAGAAAGATACAGTCAGCCTGCTGGCAACTGGAGACAAGAGACCGCAGCTACAAGCCTTGGAGAATTAAAACAAAAGTCAGCGCTGTGTTTTCTGCAGTAGGATGGGCTCCAGCAGCTCCAGCATCGACAACATCCCCAATGCCCAAGAGATCATGCAGGAAACTGGCTGTGAGTTGAGATTCTTTGGCTTCAGTTGCTTGTTTTTCCTACTCAGACGAGCAACAGTTTGTGGAGGAATGAAAAGAAATGTTTAGCTCAAATTACTGAAATAACACCATTTTGAAAAAAAATATTTGAGTCATTGATGAATCTCTAAGATCAAACTCAGTTGTTTTATCTCGTGAAGCTTCTCATTCTGTTCACATTAATACATATTCAAAATTTTTGTTCCCTCAAGTACCATTATGACTAAACAGTCAGAATGACTCTGACAGTGTTGTTGGTGCCAATGTGGTGAAGGACAGTAACAGCTGTGAAACATGAGGGCACAGCTTTCCTGCTGCGATTAATCTCCTTTAGCAATATCAAGAGACAGAAAATTTACTTCTCCTCCTAACATATTAAATGTTTGCACACAAACATCCTACAGTCTGTAATAAAGCATTAAAAATGTGTTCAAAGCTCATGAAAACGTTGTTGAGAGTGAAGGTTGGAAAGATAAATGTTACTGATAGATATAATAAATACAAATTATATATTTTACAGAAATAATGGAATTGTGAAACATTTTATATGTTATAGTGTCATCATTCCTAATCTGTTATGATGTTTCATAGAGTTGTTAAGAACAACATAACAACATGAACAGACACTAAAAATGTGATTAGCTACAACTACCATCTGTCCATTGTTTATTAAAAACTGAAGAGAAGGGCACAATGGTGTAAAAAATAAAATAAAGTGTTACCCTGATCTACTTGAAAATTAATGAAAATTTATTAATGAAAAATTATTTTCTTTACTCACTTCTCTCTAAATCACTAAGATCACTAAAATGTTATATTTAATATTTCTCTGACATCTGGTTTTGGTCCTAAATAACTGATGTTTTATTTGAGTGTAATTTAATTTCTTACAGTGTCAGTATAATATTTCTATGAAGTCTGTAGCACTAATTTTATGTTTAAAAACCTTATAGGTTATCTGCTTTTTCTCTGCAGTCATTATTATACAGTCAGTATTTGAGTGGGTGTCTGTTTATTTATCAGATGTGTTGAAATGTTATAGTTTAAAAATGTTTTTTTTTTTTTTAAATGAATGTGCTCAAAATTTAATCATATATGCCATAACTTTTCATATCATTGTTTAAAAAAGGAAAGAAAAGAAAAGAGAAAAGGACTATTTTAACATGTCAAAACAATCCCAATTCCAGGTCCTGTTCTGGTGCTTTCGAATGTAGTTCATGGTCTTCATTCGTGAAAAAAGTGCTGATGAAGTGTGATTCAGTCAGTATATACAGTCTATGTATATAGGCTGTGTGTGTGTGTGTGTGTGTGTGTGTGTGTGTGTGTGTGTGTGTGTGTGTGTGTATGCGTGTGTGAGCTCTCTGATAACAGCACAGTGTTGTTAAACTCATCAGTGCTGCTTCATCTGTTTTTTATCTCAGTTTGTGTCGACACCCTGAACTGTTCACACTGATACAGACGCTGTGCTCACTGGTTTAACTTTATCTCTGTCAAAGCTCAGTTACTCCTGTATTGTGGTGCAGTTAGCGTTTACTTTTGGTGCATTCAAGGACACTCTGACATCCAAGATCTCAGACTCAGCTCCCGCGCGGCAACAGACAGAATTCAAGAAACAACTAAAGTCATACAATAATTTCCATAATCTCCATGTTTGTTTGTAGTGTTTGTCTTTTTCTTTCTATTTCAGAATGGTCCTGCTCATAACAGCACATTAAGATAACATAATAATAACTTTGGAAAAAAAATAAAGTCACTTCATGTCAAACCTGAACTAAATAGTTTTGAAGAATCTTTGCTGTGGTGTGAAGTTAAAGGTGACCTGAATGAACGTGCAGCCTGCTCTCTGCTGTGTTTGCTGTGTGCACAGTCAGGCTGCAGGTGTGTTTGAGGAATGTAACTTTGCTGCAGCGTTTCTTATCCTGAGCGTAAACAACACGGAAAAGTCAACAGTGCAGCTGTGATGTGACTCAGAATAAAGAAAAACCATGTGACCCACCTCCATGTGAATTAGTATGAAGTGTACAAATAATATTCTGACTGTGTTTGTGAAGAGCAGAAGGGATGAATGAGATGCTGACTGACGCTGTGTTCTGCCTTACTGACGTCATCAGCTATTGATCAGTGTGTAATCAATTGATCACTCTCTGTGTTCCAGTCTCTGCTGCCCACCTCCTGCGTCTGTATGAGAGGTTTCAATTTCTGGACAAAGACCAGACAGGAGAGCTCAGGTTGGTGGATAGACAGAGTAGAATAATAATCATATACTCTATATTATTATGATAATACCAGCTTGTATATAAACTACATTACTTACATTGCAAAAGAAACATTCATCACTGTGGGAAAAGTGTTGGATTATTACATCTTTAAGATGTAATAAGAGTTTGTCTTTTTAAATATTTTGAACAAGCCCAGTAAAACCTTTTGGGGTGACTTGAGATGAAAAGTCATGTGTTCTTCTGGCTAAAAATACAGTGGCCCTGAGAGCTCAAAGCACTGCAGCTTCAGAAAACGTATGCAAACAGACAAAACACACACAAATTCAGAAAACACCCTCATTAATTTGACAACACATGAGTTGCAAATACAACACAGCATAAGTGTTTCCATGGACACTAAAAAGTGATTTTTTGCCTTAATTTCAATAGCGAGAGGGAGAGAGAGAGGATGATATGCACCAAAGGGCCATGGGTTGCAATCAAACCCACGCTGCTGCAGTTAGGCCTATGCCTTCATAGTATGCGCTCTACCAGTTGAGCCCCCCAGAAGCCACATGTTCCCTAAACATTACTCTAGAGTTGAGGAGCTTAAAGAATAAGGAGCTCCATGCTAAGCATCTACTTCCATCAAGGTGCACTGCTCAACTAAAAGGAAAAGAAATGCTCAGACTGATGGCGCTGCCCCTCTTATATCTAGGTAATACAGCATGTCTTAAATTTCAGCTGTTACACAACAAATAAACTTTTCTTGCCATGTGCCATTTTTGTTGTTGTTGGTTTTTAATTAAAATGTAAAGAATGAAAGAATGAATTTGATCATATCAGCACAATTGCAAAATGTTCACACATAACAGAACCTACTAATCTACTGTACCTTACCCACTTATAGACACAAAAGCATAATGAAATATATTTATGGTTCTGTTTAAACCCATGGAAATGATGGCTGTTTTATGGGAATAAAAAACTAGGAGTCAGTGTGTTTCTATTGTTAGCCAACAGAATTCACCACTGTAAACTGTAACCAATAACATCACCACAGATCAGTGATGTGAACTGGAGGTTTTCCTGTTGTCAGTCACTTTAGCTGCAGTGGTGGATATGGCAGACTAGTGTACTAAAACCTCTCACTCTGTGTCTCAGGCCTGAGGATTTCGAAGCTCTTCGGGAGTTGGCCATGAACCCCATTGGAGACAGGATCATCGGTGCCTTCTTCTCTCCAGGGTACAGCAGCCTGCTGATGCTTAAAACATGTTATATTAACTTCTCCATGTTTTAGACCATTAACTATGATATGAATTTGAATCATTTTCATTTCCAACCATTCATGCAGCTGTTGGTTTCACTTCTGAAGACCACCACAGTCCTGTTTGATTGGATTGTATCTTTTACTGGTGCTGTATATCAATGTTTCATGTGGAGGAACAATAAATCCTATGAGGGTTTGGACATGACAGCAGCAGAAGCAGTACACTTTAGAGCAGTTTATGATCTGTCCATTGTGTGTTTGTTACTCTGAACAGGAAACAGGAAACATTTCTTTTCCTCTCTGTCTCCAGACAGGAAAGAGTGGACTTTCCCTCCTTTGTCCAGGTTCTGGCTCATTTTCGTCCCACCGACACAAACCGAACCAGAGGAGGGACACAGCAGGAGCCAGCCAACAGCAGCACCAGGAAACTCAAATGTCAGTCCAGTTTGGTTTGTGACCCCTCACCTCTGATCCACCAATGACTGTTCCTGTAAGATTATAATTTAAAAACTGTGTGTGTGTGTGTGTGTGTGTGTGTGTGTGTGTGTGTGTGTGTGTGTGTGTGTGTGTGTGTGTGTGTGTGCATGTGTGTGTGTTCAGTTGCCTTCCAATTGTATGATCAAGACAGAGATGGAAAGATTTCCAGAGCAGAGCTTCTTGAGGTTTGTAAGTTTTAAACGGCCTCTTCCACTGAAATCCTCTTTACATTGATTCAAAGGAGTTTATGATTACTCCTCTGCATCATTCTGCATCCTGCATTACAAACTAGGCACAAGTTCCTAGTTTATTTTTTTTAACTCATAGCAGAAATAAATTTCCCCCCATCTGTCACTGACAAGTCCTCTGAAAACATTCAGATTCTTTTGTTTTTCTCCCTGGATGCAAAAAGCTTAAAGTGGTCACAGCTTAAACAAACTAAATATTTACAGAAACCTCTCAAACCACCCCCATAGCTTTTCTACTGTCCATCTGCATGATCTGTGTTTTATAAAAATAACTCAAATATGGTTAAATAAATTGCGATGAAGCGTACAGAGAGAGAGAATGGTGCACATTTTCAGACAGTCTCCTCAAAGATATTCAGTATAATTATTTCAGTCTTGTCGTTGTTAAGCTGGAGAAAGTTATGACTTCCAACACTTGAAATCCTCAATACAGTCCTTTAGAAAAACACATTACTAGTAGCAGTAACACCAAAATATAACTCCGTGTCATCTGTATAGAATTTAAAAGATATATTATTTTAGAGAATTTTATGGAACCCAGGATTTACCCTTGAGGGACACCACAAGTAAGCTTTGGAAATAAGGAAATGAAGCTACTAAGATTCCCTGCAAGAGGATTTGTGTGTGATTAATGATTGGTTGATAACTGTGATTGACAGGTGCTGCGGGCGATGCTGGGGTTGCAGGTGACAGAGGAGCAGCTGCAGAGCATCGCAGAGCGAGCCATCCAAGAGGCTGACCTGGACAAAGACAACGCCATTTCCTTCGACGAGTTCAGAAAGGTGAGACAATCTCGACCTGTCAGAGCTGAAAACTCTTTGCTCAAAGTGAAGACTGTTTGTCTTCAAATCTAAACCAGTTACTCAATTTAGGATATTAATAATAATAATGATAATAAATGTAGATGTATATTATTTTTTCTTCATCAACTCTTTTAGAATTTAGAAAATAATAAGCATTGTGAGAATGAAAATTCTAGTGCTGTAATAAGACAAGAACTTACAACAATAAAAATCTATGGTTGAATACTATAAAGTTTGAAAACATAGTGGTTAGAATTTTGTTCATATTTAATCAGGACAATCCTCTTTTAAATGTGAATGTGCATTTGTGGAACATGGACAATATTAACATCAATACAAACAGACAGTGAAGCTTTGTACAATATAATATGCTATACACTGTATGGAGGACAGCCAGGAAAGACTGGATGGTGCCTGGAAAGACTGGAGGAGTGGGTGGCTGGTAACCCAACCCACTAGTCTCTAGTAGTCTAAAGTCTACAAAGAGAAGACAACCCACAGACCTTCCAAGAGGCGGGGGAAAGATGGGTCTAATCAGATGGACCACATGGAAACAACAGGAACGAACACAGACAACGAGAAGAGCTTGCACATTTGTGGGTGCGTAAGGGAAAAGGTAACCACGTTCAGGGGTCTATGAGTCCACCAGGGAAGAGCAAGGTGTGGAGGGAGTCATCAGCAGCAATCTTGCACTGCAGCAGCAGATAAGACAAGAGGGACCAAAGGCCAGGTCGAAAACCAGTGCCAACAGATCCTGCATTGCTGAAGGAAGAGCCCTTCAGTGGAAAGTGACCCAGTGAGCATCAAGGAGATAAACCCACCTGTCCAGAAAGACTAGAGCAAGGAAATTCAGTGAAGAAAGCACCGGCTAAGAGGGACAAAATCAAGTGGCTGAAATCCAGTGAGGCATCAGCATGGCAGAAACTAGACGCAGACCTCAGCGAGATTTTGGAGAGGTCACTGCGAGGGGGTGTGGAGGCAAGGCTTAACTTGCTTGGAGACATTCTCTACCAGGAATGTAAAGCCAGGTTCGGTGTAAATACCACCAAGAAATCCACCGCATAGATAAGAAAAGGGAGATGAGAAAGAGAGATCAAGCAGCTGGTACATCAACGTTGTCAACTCAGACGGAGATGGAGGAAGGCAACACCAAGTGAGAGAGAATGCCTTAAAGTGCTGTGGGAGGAGTGCAAGCAGAGGCTAGCTAGCTTGCAGAGGGCTGAGCACATTTGTAAGCGCAGGAAGAGGACAGAGAAGGAACGGGCCAACTTCTCCAAGAACCCCTTCAAGTATGCCAGGCAGCTGTTCGAGGAAGCAAAGAATGGGAGGCTAGGATCTCCAGAGAGGAACTGGAAGTGCACATCAAGAAGCAGTACAGTGATCCAGCAAGGAATGAGCCTTTAGGGTCACCACAGTACGTGCCTCATCCAGCCCCACCTGTGTCCCAGTTTAACACCTTCCTCCCCAGGCTCAGTGAAGTCAGAGAGGTTGTGAGAAAGGCAAGAGCATCAGCAGTCCCTGGTCCCAACGGGACCCCCCACAAGCTCTACAAGAACTGACCAGCAGTATTAAAGTGGCTGTGGACACAGATGCAAGCTGCCTGGAAAAAGCAATGCATCCCAGTGGAGTGGCACAGAGCTGAGGCGGTATTTATCCCCAAGGAAAAGGATTCCAGGGAGCTCAGCCAATTCATAAGTATCGTCTTGCTCAACGTCAAAGAAAAGATCTTCTTCTCCATCCTTGCAGGAAGGATGACCAGCTACCTGACAGAGAATGGCTATGTGGACACCAGCTGTGAAAAGGCAGGGATCCCTGGCTTCCCAGGGTGTGTGGAACACTCATTAGGGATCTGGGAGCAGATACAGCAGATGAAGCGGGACAAGAAGGAACTGCACTTCATCTGGCTTGACCTCGCAAATGCATATGGATCTGTGCCACACCAGCTTATCAACTATGCCACCGAGTTCTTCCACATAGCTGACAACATGAGGAGCCTGACCTCAAATTACTTCAAGGACCTGCAAATGAGCTTCACTCCCGGAGTTCACAACCAGATGGAAGCAACTGGAGTTAGGCATCGCCATGGGATGCTCAATATCCCCCATCCTCTTTGTGAAAGCCTTTGAGGTAATACTCATTGGAGCAAGACAGATGGTGGGAGGAGCCAGATTGCCATGAGGTCAGAAACTGCCCCCACTGAGAAAGCTTCATGGATGACGTCACCAGTCTCCTACCAACAGCACCATGTACAGCTAGGCTGCTTAAAAAGGATGGATGAGCTGATGTCGTGGGCAATGATGAAGATCAAGTCGGCCAAGTCCCGAAGCCTCTCACTTAGGAAAGTTGTCAGGAATGACAGGACCATCTTTGTCGGCTGAACAGCCCATCAAAAGCCTCAGGAGACATTACACAGCTGAGCTCTCGGATAAGCATGCAGGGAAAAGTGTCCTGAAACAGCTATCTGATGGCTGGGCAGGGACTGACCAAAGCCAGCTTCCAGGAAAATACAAGGTGTGGTGTTACCACACCACTGTCTACCAGAGGATAATGTGGTCAATAAAACTGCATGAGATCCCTTTATCCATGGTCAGCAGAATGGATGGAAAAGCCAATTCTTTCATCCGGAATTGGCTGGGCTACCCGGAATGTCTCTCAGATTCTGGTTTCTTTGGAAAGAACACCCTACAGCTGCTGCTGCAATCAATAAGCATGGGCTACAAGCAGGAGAAGTCCAGGCTAGTGATGGAGATGAGGGACTCCACGGACCAGGCAGTGAGAAGTGCAGATGTCCAGATCTGCACTGGCCGCAAATGGAAAGCCCATGCTGTGGTTGACCTCGCGATCAGCAGGCTTTAGCTCAAAGAGATCACAGGCAGAGTCCAGACAGGAAGGGCAGGTCTTGGGTGGCGAGAAGCCCCGCAGTTCTGGTCCAAAGCCAACAGGAGAGAGAGGAAGGAACTGGTGGTGTCTGAGGTGACGAGGATGGAGAACCATAGCACAGGGATGTCAGGGCGGCTGGACAAGGTGGGAAGGCGTTGTTGGCAGAAACATCAACATGGTGGACCTGTGGAAGATCCCACAGTCCAGGCTCAGTTTCCTCATCAGAGCAACGTATGACACACTCCCCTGCCCTCTGAACTTTTTTTTGTGGTTTGGCCAGGAAGAGTGCTGCTCCCTCTGCATCAGCCCAAATGCAAGCCTCCACCACATCCTATCAGGCTGTTAGACTGCGATCTCCCAAGGACGCTACAGGTGACAACATGACCAGGTCCTGACCAAATTGGCCGAGGTGCTGGAGAGACGCAGGCTGGAAATGAGCAGAGGTCATCCCCCACCCGCAGACCATCACATCCAGTTTGTCGGAGAAGGTGGGGGCAACACCCAAGGTCAGTTCTTGCCACCCAGGACTGCAGCATGAGAGTTGATCTTGGCATGAAGCTTCAGTTCCCCAGAGAGATCACCACCACAAGCCTCAGCCCTGACATAGTGGTGTGGTCCAGTGACACCAAGACTGTGCTCCTCATCGAACTAATGGTCCCGTGGGAGGAGGGTCTGGAGGCTGCCTCAGAGAGGAAGAGGCTGAAGTACTCCCTACTCACCACTGAATGCAAGGTGGCCGGTTGGAGAGCCTACCCAATTGAGGTAGGATGCCGCGGCTTTATTGGAACATCAGCTGTCCGCCTCATGAGAGACATGGGAGTAACAGGAGAAAACCAGCGGAAGGCCTTGAAAGTCCTGGCTGAAGAAGCTGAGAAGTGCAGCATCTGGCTCTGGCTGTGGAGAAAGGACAAGAGTTGGAGTAACACCTAGCACAGGGGTTGGCTGCAGGGGGTGGCAGGGAGATGTCCCTGCCACTGCCACTGCCCTGCCACCAGGAGCATTCCGGGTTTAAAGGGGTGAAACGTTGTGAATCGGTGGTACCCGGCTGACGACCCTGCAGCCAGCCGACCCAAGGGCACCAGAGGAAGTGCATCAGGCAGTAATGCCAAAACAGATCACCATCTACCTGTATAATAATTAATATTAAACAGAAGAAATATAAAAAATACTATGAAAAAGAAGTTATTATATGAGAAACACACTAGCATCCTTAAGGAGACTTTCTTCAGCATTAAATGTCTACATGTATGGTTGGAAAAGAATGTAACATATGATGGAATTAAAATGATTATTTTTCTTTTGTTTTCAGTCTCTGGAGAAAGTGAACATCGATCACAAGATGAGTATTCGCTTCCTGAGATAAAGATGAAACCTGCTAAGACTTTGGGATTTTCCTGTTTACACTGAAAAGAAGATGAGATGAAAATTCAGTTGGAGACATGAAGAGGAACCAACAGAGAGAAGCTGATCAGATGGAATTAAACAGATGCTATTCTTTAGCATGGTTACTGAATAAGTCTAATATGCTGCTTCCATTGGTTCAGACCATTGGCAGCAGTAACACGTCCCTACAGGGCTTTTACCTCAATGGAAATGGAGGATGAGGAGTTCAGATGAAGGAAACTAATGGATGAGGTGGATGGAGCAGGAACAAATTCTCACCTATCACCACAGAGACCTGGTAATCATTTCTTTAAGGGTAGGCAGTAACCTTTACATATAACATATAAACAGATCAATAAACAATAAATTCTGTTGAACAAAAGTACAAAACTTATAAACAAGGGTTAAACTGTGATGAGAAAACAAAAATGAAGTAGTAAAGTAACATTAGTAACAACAATTTGCTTTTTCAACAAAAAAGATCAGATTTTCGATTTGATTATCATCATCATATCATCTATATACTATGTAGCCAGAGTTGTTAGCTGGTTGGCTGTGACGCCTGCACAGTGGGAATTGGAACTGGAACTGGAACTGGATAACTGGATGAACCTCCTACGTGATTTGCCCTTCAGGTGAAGCTCATTGGTGGACCTCATGGACCCTGTTCTCCTGAAACTAAATACAAGTGCAAATGCAAGTGCAAACAATTAAGATAGACATCAGGAGTAGTGCAACCCAAGCACACTAGATGAATATGGATTCTGCAATATGGCCAATCACATGAGTTAATCTTGTCTTGCAGATTGGACGTCATGGTGTGTATGACGCACATCCACAAGAATACAAGGATTTGTGTAACTTAAAATTCTTCATCCGCCATATCTGTGAGGGGTCATGCAGACTGTCCATGTGCAGCCCAAAATGTATGACTGTGTGAACTAATGTATGACTTTCGCCTACAGACACTATAGTTAACTATATGCATGACTGTCATAGCTTTGTATCGTGATTCAACTTTTTTGTGCTAAGTTCTACTATTGAATAAAGAGCTTAGTCTGTATCAATGTGAGTTTTTTTTTTACTTTATCTATAAGCAGTTTCCTTCTCTAAATCTTCATGGTTGAACATGGTTCTCTCTCCAGTGTGTCATGAAGTCTCATGACTGAATGTTTGAATTCCATTTTCACCTCTGAAGACCAACGACGAGCTGAATATATACCATATAAGCATACATACATGAACGTATATGTATGACATTTATGTACATGTATGACATTTATGTCAATACATGAAAGTATTCCAATTTCTAATAGCTTTCATATATCATTTTTACATACATTATGTGCTTTTATTTTAAATGTACATGTATGTCATATATGGAAATTCAATATATGAACATGTATTACAATTGCATATGGGAAACTGCATATTAGTTGCTCTGACATCAAATTACAGTATGCAGTTTGAAACACATTTAACTAGGCAGCATGACAGCAAGCAGTAAAATGGATATTTTCCTTTTCGAAATGAAAGAATCTGAAACTGAAAATACAAGCTGCAACTTAAATTTATTTAATTATGGATTCCAGGTCAGTTGATGGATGAATTCAGCACCTATGGTACCATGTTTTCAACTGCAACGATTAAGCGTTTTGAATTTTGTGAGATTTGGTACAGATGTTCAGAAAAAAAGGGTGGGATATTCTCAAAAACAAACCATGTTGGAAGGCAAAGTAGAGCTACCTTGAATGGTCAGACTGCTTTGCCGGGTAAATGAGGATAGTGATGCACATTTTCGGGAAGTCTTTCCTCAAAGTTATCCATCATACTGCACCTCTTTGCATAAATGAGAAATGACAGAAGAAGTTGTGTGAAGAAGAGAAATTGAAATGGAAGCAGGTGATTGTCGGATTCTTGGTTTCAAAAGGTTACAAATGTTGTTGGACATCACTTAGCCCCAATTCCAATGTTGGGGAGGACTGTGGGGAGGGGGCTTCAAATCTGTTTGACAATTCATTTCATCCCAAAGGCCTTGGATGGGGTTGAGGTCAGAGCTCTGTGCAGGCCAGTCAGATTCTTCATCACCAAACTGGGAAACCATTTTATATGGAGCTTCTTTGTGATCAAGAGCAACAGAAAACAGACAGCCACTGTAGACTAAGACAGTGGTTATCGAACCTTTTCGCAACAATTAGACCACAGACACCCATTTGATAAGATTTTGTCACAGGGCCCCCGATTTGATAAGATCTTCGCTTCTATATGTTTTATTACACAAAGTGTTTGAACCCATGAATAAAATATTCATTTTTGTCACTGTGTTACTTATGGATGGAATTGTAGTGAAAATAAATTATTCCCCTTTTTTCTGGAGACCCCCTAGGAAGCCCTTCAAGGACCACTGGGGGTCCCCGGTCCCAACTTTGAGAACCACTGGTCTCAGATGGGTTGTCTGGACTCAGGCTTATAGATAGTGTGAGGATCTCACAGTAGAGTCGCTGCTCCTTCATGTTGAAAGGATCCAGTTGTGGTGGTTTGGTAATCTGATTAGGATTCCTCTTAGGTGCCTTTCTTTGGAGGTTTTTCAGGCATATCCAACTGGGAGAAGACCCCAGGGTAGACCCAGAACTCCCTGGAGGGATTACATATCCCATGTCTGGAATGCCCTGCTTAGCCTGCTGCCACCGCAACCTGATCCTGGCTAAGCAGAAGAAAAAGGATGGATGGATGGATGGATGGATGAATGAATGGTCTAAGATATGATTGTATGGTGCAGCATTAAGATTTGCCCAGGAAAAACAGACCCAGGACAAAATTAAACTAAGTATGTGGACAGGCCTGTGAAAGTATTGGAATATTGGTGTATGTCCAATTTGAGACCACTAGGTGGAGCCATTGCTAAATATTTTCTCTGGCAGTAGTGTGTAGACCTGGAGAAGATCAACAACATTCAATTGCCAGTCCAAACTCAAATCCCACTTGACATGACTTTAATCTGGAACAGTTTGCATTTCTCTTGGAGCCAGGTTAGTGTGCTGCTGTCTTCATGGAGTCCCTGCTCTTTGTTTTATTCTGTGGTTGATACTCAAAACGGAAGGTTTCGTCTTTGTGAAGAGAGTGAGCTCTGGGGACTGCAGCTTTCCATTTCACCATAACTTGTTGGCTCATTTATTTTTAGGACCTCTTTCCACCTGAATGAAGATCAGTGAAGTGAAGTTAATAACCTGCAGACTTCAGGGCCTTGAGGGCGTGTGGGGGAGTAAATGGATACAGATTCCTTCAAAAAGTCACATTAGATTTTGAAATCTCAACCCAGGGAACATGGTGAATGACCAAAACTACCATACCCACAATGTGACCAATAGCAGCTGCTGGGTCTCACCAAAATACTCATGGTGGATCCCCCAGCAGTTACTTCTGCATTCACTTTCTGTTATTGGCTGACTGTAGCAGTCTTTAAACTAAATGTTGACACAAATTTCTAACAAATCTGTCATAAACTCAGTTATATAGACCCAAACCAAAACAGTTACCCAATTTGTCCAGTTTGTTTTTTAATCAAGCCTTGCCCCACCCTTTTTAAAAATGTACCACAGTAATGTTCACTCAGAGTATGTTTTAACTGACTTACTGTTTTACTTTTATTAAAGTGCATATATAAACAGAGTTTAAGCTTTACTTGAGTGATATGTTTTTCTCTCTCCATCACTGCTAAAATCATCTTTGACCTGTGTCTGTACTGGATAAATCATCTTCTGACCTACAGTAAGTCAGGGGGGAGATGGAGAACGTGAAGATCAGTACCGTGATGTGCTGTTGTAAACAGTCACACTCTCACTCTTCATTCAAAGCACAAATGAAAACTCTGCAGGAGCTGAATTCAAGTTTTTTTTTTTAGAGTTCTTACATATTCATCATTGCCATGATGAAACAAGGACAAGATTGTGATAAAAATCAGCAAACATTAGTGGTAGAGAAAGCCGAGCATCGTTCTCCAGGTGACAGTCTGAGCCCGGGATCATTTCCTCTCTATGCCTTCTTCTGAGGCATGGAGGCCGTGAGCAGCCAGTACAGAGAGTAACAGGTTCCTGTGGAGATGATACACACACACATAAATAACAAAGATGTAAGATCACAGTCACTTTTATTCTTTTTCTCAAAGAATTATTTTCATTTATTTACTCTCAATCAACTTTTTTGTATCTTTTTCATAGTTGGACAATGCATATTTAATGCACACCCATGAGGATCTGGTTCAAGGCCAGGATATACTCAAAACCAACTACTTCACAGGATGTTGTCCAAGAACGTCTGAAGGTAAAAGAAGTTCAAATCCTGCATGCTTTCTCACCTGCACCTGACCAGTCACTGTGTTGTGGGTGTGCTTGGTTAGATTATCTGTTTAGAAAAGATACTGTTTGACTGTCCTTCTGTTAAAAATGAGCCCTTAGGTCATCTGTGCAGCAGGTTATTTTATACAACAATTAGTTCTGATCAAGCAATTTGATTGGATGAGAGTCATTCCATGAGTGCTGATACAGAGTACAACAATACTGGGACTTTTAACATGACTTTTAATTTCACTATGCTTCACAGATGTTCTATTAACCATTAATCAGCGTTACATTAACGGTAATTATCTATCTAAGATTGAAACAAACTTTGCAAAGATGAAAATATTTCCTGAGGAAATGTGTAGACAAAGTAGGAAGCTACTGTGCACTGTGCAGGTCAGGAATACGTTTATGTGTTGCTTAGCAACATTCCAGTACTAGTCCGGTTGCGGAACTATTTGTGTTGGCGTAGCCAAATAAATGAAACAAATAAAATAAACAAACACATCATAATCTGTTGATTCTTTTTAACTAATATGGCGCTCGTAGAACTGTTGTATAAATTCCATATCACACATTTGGTCATAGGTACACGGCCTCGTACCTGCTGATATTCAGTACAACTTCACTCCCTCTCGTGTGATATTAATTAAATGACCCATAGTTATGTTTTGTTGCTAGGCAACATCTAGTGGTCATACTAATTATGGCAAAGGGAAAAGTGCGGTGACATAGTATAAAGAGAGACAAAGTCCACATCAGGAGGAGGTTGTGGCGGATGGATGAAACCCATGTGTAACCATGACAACAATTACTAAACTGCGCTTAACCGAGCCAAGCCACGATCGTTATTATAGTAATCATGGCGACAAAGGTAGGCACACTGCTGTTGGTGTAGCCCTAGGTTGTTTTAATACACCCTTATCTTATTGCAATAATAGTTTGAGATGGTAAAAGTACATATTGTGTTTCAAAATTAGTGTATTTTGATTGACATGTTGAGTTTAATATGAAGAATGAGTTTATCACTTTAAATAGATAGGTTGCAGAGTAACTACATGTGCTTCTGTGTTTACCTTGTGTGGGAGAGAGCACAACCTACCTTGTTTATTTTATTTTAAAGGTGAATGGCTGTTTGTTAAGTCATGTCATTTTGCTGTGTTTTGATTGGTGAAGGGGCGGGACAAATAGAGACAGAGGAGGCAGAGAGCGCGAAAGACCTGAGCTGGGGAGGAGAGATGTAGCGGCGGAAAAGAAGAGACGGGATGAAAACAGAGTTGTAAAAGTATAATAAGTTTTGGAGTTGTCGTAACAGTTGAGGCTGTAGAAAACAGAGTCTAAGACTGAGAGACATTATTTTATGTGAAGCGCCGGAGGAGAAAAGGTATTTCTCCTGCTAGCTGCAAGAGTTCGTCTTCAGGAGGAGCTGTAGGAGTCCACCTGCTGCTGTGTCGGTTTCCCGAGGGAGAAAGGACATTTTCTTCATGTCAGCGAAGGACCACTAGTGGAGGGAGCGAGACGGTTTGGTCTGCCTGGTTGGTGGATCCGGAGCCTGCAACCTGCTAGCCTTCTGCTCGGCTACTGCTTCAGCTCGGCTACTGCTTCTGCTCACCATTCTCTTCCCGCCACCCCACAGATACTGTGACTCGAACTCTGCTATAAACTGTGAATATTCGCCATTGTTTTTGTTCGGCTAGACTGAATCGGCTACCTGTTTTGGCCTCCACGATCCCGAATTCATCCAGGCCTGCAACGTGGGGTTATTTTCTTTATTTGACATTTTTGCCGGCTTGTGTGAATGTGAGAGTGTGAGTGTGTGGGCCCATTAGTCTAGCATATTATATCTCACTGGTAAACAAAAGGTATTTCATTCAATTCATGTGTGTTATAGGTTGAATTAAAAACAAAGGAAATATTTCATGATACTGAGATAAAAAGTGTTAAAAGAGTAAAGTTCATTTAAAAGCTGTGAAGCATAAAATAAGTTAAGTGAAATTTATAAAAGCTAAGAGAGCTATTTCCTATATTGAGTACTATAAAAAATAGGGAATTTCTGTGTTTAACTTTTTTTTGTTTTGTGAGAGTATCTCCTCTGATAAGTTCTTTATTTTCCTTTTAGTTAATAAATGTATCTAATTTGAGAGAAGTTGTTTGTGATATCTGGTAGTTACAAGTCATAAGTTACTTCAAGAAGTCAAGATTAAAAAAGAGTTGAGCGTAGAACATTGATAGCGTAACACACTGAAAGAACGGTTTAATTTAGAGTCACTGATTTTAAAGGGCTTAATTAATCAACACAAGGGGGGAATAAAAGTAATGAACACAGGGCCCTGCATATGGGAAAGGTACAGAAAGGGTTACATTGGTATAGTCCATGTGTTTATTATTGTAACCCTGACAACTGAGGTCTGGTACGCCTGCCTCCATAGGGGAGTTATTTTAGGAGACATGCCTATGGGTCGTATCAGAGGGATGAAAAAATAACCTGTGTGGTTGTTCAGGTTGGAGGAGCTGTTGCATTTAAAGCATTCTGACCTTTCAGACCAACATTAGCATTCCGTCAAAAAACCACACAGTTTCTGCTGCAGCAGGCAGCAGTCAGCGGTCAGACAAAAGCTCTGTTAAACACACTGTACAGCAGACAGGCTCCTCTGGCACACATGATGTGTATTTGTTACCTGCGATAGTTAGAGTCATGGTCACCCGGTAGAGCAGGACGTCACGCGTTCCACCCTTGAGGTGGACTGGCAGTCCATTGTCCTCCTGTAACCACAGACAGCATGTGGTTAAAACAGTGTATGCTAATGTGTTAGCATGGAAGCTAATGTCACAAAACACATAAATAAAATAAAGGTCTTTAAACTGGATGATGACACAGGGCCTCTTGTATCACAAACCTCAGATAACATCATATTGCAGAGATTCAGTAAAACTGACTGTGACTGCCTTTTGTGTCGTGCTTTGCCAAACACACTGACAACACTGGTCCACAGCTGTATCTCAGCAATACTGAGTAGATTTTAATTTCAGTCTGCTGGATGTTCTCCACACAATGACTCCTAATGACTTTGGTAACTCCCCGATGTTTCGTCTGTGGTTCTCCTCTGTGTTGTTACCTGGAAGAGTTTCTGGGCCTCTGGGACTCTGTTCTTCAGCTGTCTGGCGGAGCTGCTGAAGGCACGGCCGGCCAAAAGCGGAACTTTCTGGAGACAAAAAGAAACAGGATTCATTTTGGGAAACTGTATTGATGATGTCCAACTACGGATCAGGAGAGGGTACCCCAGAACCGATGGTGTCAGGGGTTTCATTTCCATGTAAATCCTGTTCCACAGCCTTTCATCACTAACTGTATTTCCATTCCTCTACAACACCACAAACCATAACAAACAGTAAATAAAGCTGTGAGTTGAATGAGACAGAAACATCAGACCTGTGAAATGTCCATTTCCCATCATGGTTTCCACATGGTTTACTCATATAATCATCATGGCACCATACTGGAGAATTAGGTCTGTGAGTAGGGGGGCTGGTAGGTAGGTAGGTAGGTAGGTAGGTAGGTAGATCATTTCACATGACCAGACTGATGAGGAGATTGTCTGTCCGTCCCATACTTGTGAATGCAATATCACAGTAACACCTTGATGTAATTTCTTCAACTTTGGAACAAATGTCCACTTGTACTTAAAGATGAACTATTTACATTTTGGTGATAAGAGGTCAAAGTTCAAGGTTGCAGTGATCTCCCAAAACACGGTTTTTGGCCTCATGAATGTGATATCTGAAGACCACCTTGAGGGAATTCATGTTCAAGGTAACAGTGACCTCATTTTCTTGTGAACGTGATATATCAGGAACGCCCAGAGGGAATTTCATTACATCTGGCACAAACTTGGACTTGGACCACTTGGACTCAAGGATGAACTGATTACAATTTAGTGGTCAAAGGTCAAAGGTAACAGTGACCACACAAAACATATTTTTGGCCATAAGTCACAAATTCATACACTTATTATGACACAATCTAATATGAAGATAAAATAAAGATGACATTTTATATCCAAAAGGTCATAAGTCAGCTTCAGGAAGGAGAGATTGTCACCATGTTTCCTGCAACTTGGCTCGTGGGCGGAGGGATACAATTCTTGTTCTTTGTGGAGCTAGTTCATTTTGAATCTGTGATGGTACAGTAGTTCAACAATGGAAAAACTGTCCTAGGGATGTGAAAGAGTAAGTAAGTAAGTAAAAATCTATTTATATAGCACCTTTTAACAAGTGCGTTATGTCATAAAAAAGTATAAAAATGTTCAAGAACTACAACAATAAAAGCAATAAAATAAGGAGCAATAAAATGAAAAGGGCGAGATATTCAGACAGACTATTTTCTGAATAAATATGTTTTCAGCTGCTTCATGAAGACATCACAGGAGTCTATGAATTGCAGGGGTAGGGGGAGAGGGTTCCAGAGTTTGGGTGCCATGGCTTGAAAAGCATGGTCACTTCGGGTCATATGGCAGGATCGAGGGAAGGACAGTAATTTTTGTTTAGTAGACCTGAGAGCCCAATTTGTCCTATAAGGGAGGAGGAGGTCCTGCCAGTGGAGGACAAAACTGGTGTGATGTGTGTTCTCTTGTTATTTCTGGTTAAAAGCCAGGCAGCTGCATTTTGAACGGTTATGAGACATTTCAAAGAGGTTTAATTCAGACAGGTAAAAAGAGCGTTACAGTAATCTAAACAAGAAAAAATGAAAGCATGAATAATCATCTCCATCTCAGCCACGGTCTCCACAGATCTTAGTTTGGCAATGTTCCTCAAATGGGAAAGACATGAGTTCATGAGCTGGCTGACATGATTATCTAGTGACAGAGACTGGTCGAAACATTTCTAAGGTTATGCTGAACACAACTACTCAATATGTTGCGGGATATTCAAAGTTATACAAGCTTCTGTCTTATTTATCATGTGTCTGACATGTACTGGCCAACAGAGACTGAAAAACTCCTATGAGCAAGATAGAATGAGAACCAGTCCAGGGCAGACTCATAGCCACCAGCTGGTTTAGCCCATTTAATAAAATAAAGAAGGGAAAGCGGAAGGGAAACTTACTCTGAGGCTAGTATCATTTCTGTTTTTTATCTGACAGCTGCAGGTACCATGTTTGCTCGCACTGCTTGCTGTTGTTTATGGGAAGAAAACGTGTTGTGTGATGCCAAGAAGTTAAAGTCAATTTCCAAACTGAGGTCTGTCTGATACCTCCATGAACGAGAGTGTACAATCATTATATCATCTCACTATAACAGATCAGCCTCATTTGGGAGACCATTACAATCTGATTAGTCTTCATTTGTCTGGTTTTGGACCATTATTTTCACATTAGGAAAATAATTGCAGCATTGTTAAAAATGTTCCACAGCTATAAACACAGGACACTTGTACACTTGTACATCCCCAATTGGACAGCTCTAAATACAGAGTGTGAATACTTTATGATTTATTATTGATCATTTAAAGTGGCCTCTAACCTAAACAGACTGAGGGTGTTTCACTCTTGGTCCCTTTTAGCCCTCAAAATGAACTGAGTGATGACTCAGAATTTCTTCCACATGTGTGAGCATTCCAAATGAACTCAGACCCCTCTGAAGCAAGCCAAACTAAGACCACCTCAAGAGGTGGTCCTGATTGTGCTCAGATTCAACCAACGGCAATGTAGACTTGAATTGGTCTTGGTTCATTTGGAGCGTTCACACATTAACAGAACGGGTTTGGTTTGAGGGCTGAAAGGGACCAGAGTCTGCAGCCATGCTGACAGCTCTGTGAGACTGGACCAGCTTTGAGCTAAATGCTCACATCAACATGCCAACATGCTGATGTTTGGCAGTTGTAATTTTTACCATGTTCTGCTGCGTCGCTGAACTGCAGCTCGCATGTTTGTGTGTGCTTACACTGGCTTTGTGTCTGCTCCTTCTAGCTCTACTCTACTTGAACGTTGGATTTCTCTTCATTATAAATTAATTTCTGATTTATTTTTGATAGAAAACATCACTAAAATGTCACTGTCTCCACATGCAGCTGCTAAAATAGTTTAAAAAATATAATTATATTTTTCATGTATCTGTCATATTCAGATTCAGCCTAGACATTTAAACTATATTGGAAGTTTTATGTCATGTTGCTGGTATGAAGTCAATATGACATCAGCAGGTTTTCTCAACACTTTTCTATGTCTATTTTTGCTGGGAGACGAGTCACGCATGAAAAATATTAATTGATTATAAGACGCAGCCACGAGGCATGAGACGCGCATCTCATGGGCGTCCCATGCGGCAGTGTGTCCGCTCTAACCCATTAACATGGAGACCAAAAAGAAAACCAAGATGTTCTGCAGCCGCCACGCACACACCACACAGCCAGTGTGTTCCTGAGCTTAGTTTTACATGTAAGCATGGTAACATTTGGCTGAGGCTAACGGAAATTTCATCATTCTGCAGGTATTTGGTCATAAAGCAAAGACTGGACAAATTAAAATGTTGACCTGAAGGTGGGTTTTCATCTGATCGTGACCCAGGGACCACCTTTCTGACTGAGAAGCGACCTGAGCATCACTGATGGGGATTGAGATCAGGTGTTTTTTTACCTGACAGACTTTACCAGACAGACTTTAAAGGTGTAATGTGTAAGATTGTGCTACTTGATCCACCTACATAGGGGGCAGTATTTCACCTCTTTGTCCCTGTGCAGTTGTTTTCCCCATGTTCCTTATAATTTATCATTTATATGTGCATTTATTGCTGATAGTTAAATTGTTGATAGCACTGAAACAAATTATGGGTAAATGTAATACAAACAATGTTTTTATTTACATATAAAAATGTGAAAGCAAGGGGATACTACATGACACATGGGTGTCAGGCAACAGCAGCATGAGGAAGGGATGATGACATCATCACAAAGGCAGAATCAGAAAATCAGGTTTATTGCCAGGTAGGTTTTTACTTAAAAGATATTTGGCTTGGTGTTTGGTGCAGTATCCAATAAACATATTAATAAGAAATAACAATAAAAAGGTAAAATACTGCAACAGTCAAAAAGATAAATATACATAGATACACGTATTAAGAAAATAAAATAATGAAAAAAATGATGTACAAAATTGTTGACAAAACTCCTGTTGAGCAGGATGTGCAAAAGATCACAGTATAGACTGTTCTGTGCAGGGATAATACTCAAAGGTGTTACTGTAATGTGGTTGTTGATTGATGAGGCCAGATTGCAGAAAAATGATGCAGAAAAAAAGGCAAGTGCTGGTCCATCACTGGACCATGAATTCCAGACTGGACTGGAATTCTGATCCTGATACTGACAAACATGTGATAGGACAATTAGTTTAGATCATACAAGTTCCTTATATTCAAATATGTTAGGTCTGTCGCATGTGTATAATAAATATTAGGAATAGATATGAATATGCTAAAATATAGTATGATAAATACAGTATTAAGCAGTGGATCCTGAACCCGCTGGTTCTGGATCAAACTGTCTCTTTGTTTTACTTACTTTACTACGAAAAAAAAGTTACTGACGCATCTAGCTGGACAGCAGCCGCAGGAACAGGCTAAATTCTACTACATCGCTAAAATGTAAAGATCATACATTTATGCCACTTGAAGTGTTTGTCAGTAACGGTTTGTCATTTGCACTAATGATACTTTTTGCTACAGACCAACATTAGATGTTACTAAACTGTCTAACAGAAAAGTTGCGAGCTCAGCATCAAACCACATCTACTTACTCGCCGGGAGCTGTCTCCAGCGGTGGGAAGCCACAACAGGATTTACTTGTGTTTTCTTCTTTTCTTTGCCGTTGAACGTGGTTTCTTGTTGTAGCGGTTCTCCGGGAAGGAGATAAAGATCGCATTCTAGGAGCTTTAGCCTTATCTCTGTGTTTCTGTGATGCCAGTCGGGAGCTTTTTTTTTTTTAGGTCGGGAGCTGTAAGTGTAACTTCAAGCTCTAGATGAAACTCTTCTTCTTCACGGGACGCTATACTGACTCACACAGCATCTAGTGTCATAAAGTGGTATTACAACACGGTCCAGGACTTAGCTAGTTGGTTAGCATGCTCATTTCAGTAGATATCTCTGACATACAATAGATTGAGGTCTTGGTCATGACATCGTCACTGTGGCTCCTTCACATACTATTGATAGTG